ATTGCTAAAATCACAAGTGATGTTTAGCAATTCCATAAGATGAGAGCGACTGGAGGCGAATAACTTGAGATCATCCATATAGAAAAGGTGGGTCACTTTTGTACCTCCTCTCTGAAGCTGAAATCCCCTCCCGGAACCCTCCAGTAAGGTACTAAGAGGGTTCAGAGAGAGGCAGAACCAGATTGGACTCAGACAATCGCCCTGGAAGATACCCCTTCTTATACTTATGTGGTTCTCCGCAGCCGTCATTCGCTCGCCTAGATGACAAAGGATCGTACTCCACTGCCCCATACACTGCCCGAGGAAGTCTCGAACTGTACAGTCAAAGTTATACAGCTCGAGGACCCTCTTCAGCCATGTATGAGGCACCGAGTCGAATGCCTTTTTGTAGTCTATCCAGGCGGCGGAGAGGTTCCGACGGTTGCGTTTAACCACCTTGCCAATGACCGCGTCAATGAGGAGTGGTTCCTTGGTTCCACGACCACCGCCCCGACATCCATTTTGAGCGCGCGACATCACCTGATTTGAGTTCAGGTGACGAGTGATTCTCGCGCTCAAAATGGATGTCAGTGTCTTGTATATGGTAGGTAGACACGTTATGGGGCGGTATTTGCTCGGGTCTGTGGAATCTCGGTCTTTAGGAACCAAATGAGTGATCCCAGTAGTGAAGAGGCTCGGGAGCAACTTTTGGTCGAGAGCCTCTTGAAACTGTCGGGCGAGAACAGCGTGACACACCACGAAACCCTTCAGCCAGTAGTGATGCAGTCCGTCGAGTCCCGGACTTTTCCAGTTCGGGGCCCTACGGACCGCCTCAGCTACGTCATCCGGCGTAATGATGACGGGGTCCATGGGCGTAACATTCGCACACTGACTCGCCACAACTTCCGTCCAAGGGCCCTCACTGTGGTTTACGGGCTCTGACCACAGGCCGCGCCAGAATGCGATAGTGTCGGCCTGATTCGGTGCTGGGCCCGTTCCACGTACCATTGGTCGCTCCAATGATTCATAGAGCCTCTTCTGATCACTCTGGAAGAGACGATTCTGGTTGAACCGTGTCGACCTCTCGGTATATCGCCGAATCCGCTTCCCCCAAGCAGCGATTCTCTGCTTCAGGTCGTCTATGCGCTCCGTCAGTTTTTGCGTTATATCCGGCTGGGACAAACTGATATTTGTCCCAGCAAACGCCATCCTGACGGTGCGCACAATTCTCGGCCTATTATTGACCGACCTGAAGCTTATCAGCCTGCCGATGAGGGCCCTTGCCTTTGCGATACGGTCCTCAATCCTTCTTCTCCAGGCTGGGATGGCGCTACTTTATCTAGTAGCGCGTCCAGCCTTTGGAAGTTTGGCGCCAATAATACGGCAAACTGCCAGTGCGGCGCCAAAAAGAATTGAGTCCGTCTCGCAAAGGTCCCGGCTGGCTTCCAAATAGGTCACCAGCATTGGGTTGAGAGCCCTCACGACAGCCCGATTCCGCTTGCTTAGGGGTATACGGGGAAGTCGCGGTCGATTCTCGAGAGGTGTACTGCGCGTTTCCCTAATCGCCTCTTCCACTATGCTCCTCATTTGCTCTAGTTCTGGGGCGACTATTCCATCGTCGCCTGAGTCAACTACAAGGAGATCTACGGCGGCATCTACATGTGCGGGTTGCTCTGAAACTCGTGGAGCCGCATCTCCTGTCGTAGCATTTTCATTCGACAAAGGAATAGCCTCACGTCGTAGCCGTTCGAGTTCGGCGTCATCAAATATTTTTGAGCGCATGATATACCGAACTCGGTCTGCCAGGTTTTGCTCGGTAACGGTATTAGATGGCTCCAGCTCAGCAAATAGTCGGTGCATCCTAGCCCGATACCCAAAACCTCTAATTTCTCTCCCTTTCGCCCCAAAATACGCCCGCAATGCATTTTTATTCATTTGCATTGACCAACGCATGCGGCGTACTCCACCAGTGGCGGGTGCTGATTGCTGGGCCAACGAAGACCCTGCCAACACCAAGCCAGCTGGTGGGGATGATGGATGCGAGGGGCTGCTGGGTGATCGTGCAGCACCTCGCGGTCGACTGGCGGTTCGCATGCTGCCGCGTCCAGCGCCAGCTCCAGACGCGCCCTGGCGACCTCCAGGCAGCGGCCCTTTGCGCGTATTTCTTAAATCCATTATCCATGTATTGGGCGTCAGTTAACGGGAGACGCCCAGACCCGGCACCGTTTCATGGTGAGGCCATGTGCACAATCGGGCCTTTGCACCTCCAATTTTGCCGAGGCACGGCGCTAACACCTCTTGGCAAGGTGCTGACTGACTGCGCTGACGTAGCAGTTTTGTCACATAACCGTTACGTCAGCGGGCGATGGGGTCGTCACTTCCCTACGCCTTATTATTATTATTATTATTTTGAATTGAGATGCTACATTTATCGATTTAGGTTTTTCCCTGTAATGGTAGATGTTAGTAGGAAATATAAATAAATAAATAAAATAAATAAATAAATAAATATCAATAAATTGCTCGAATTAGTAAGTCGAGTTCATCACTAAATTGTAGACAGACACTGCATTGACCGTACGATAAAGATGCGACTCGAGTAGAATTTTGTGACACGAGTCACTCGGGTTTTATCATTTCACTCTAGTTGCACTCGAGTTTTTGAGTTATTCGAATTAACTATTTACAGTCCCTGCATCGATTGAAGTTTATCACTCGAGTTGAGAATAGCGATTATCTTAGTTGTTTCTCGGTTCGATCATGGGCCCGAACATTAGTTCGTTTGTGGGCCCGTTGATTTGTTCGTTTGTTAGTTTGTATGATTGAATGATTAACCGAATGTTTCTATCCAGATTGGTGTCTTTCAAGATCTTTGCGACAAATAATTCATCATCAATTATCATATAAAAAGTACTAATTCCACGCGAACGAAGTCGAGGTCACTGCTAGTTAGATAAATAAAGTTTCAAAATGTATTTAAAGGCTCAATACGACACAGAAAAAAGGTTTACCTGGTTCATGTAAAATATTTTCTTTCTAATTTTATTCCTAAATGAAGAGAAAATCGTTTCTCGTTTTTAGAAATTCTTGCTTCAAGAATTTTTTTATATATTTGCACAGGTTCGAGAAATTTCTCTTGTTTCAAAATGTAATTAATTTAATCTTTACCATAGAAAACGATCTTCTCTCAATAAAGTTTAGTCTTGCTCCAATATATTTTCATTTTGTTTCAAGAAAATGTTCTTCTCTGAAGAATATTTAGTTTCCTGCTACAAAATGTTTTATTTTGTTTCAAGAAAATGTTCTATCAAGAAAATTTAGTTCTCTTGCTCCAAAAAAAGTTTTAGTATTTGTATATTTATAATTTATTTTATCAAGAAAACACTTTTTCTCATGAGAAAATATATTCATCCAGTTAAAAATTTAGTTTTATATTATTTTATCGAAACAATTATTTTTCGGTTTAAATATTTAAACAATACCGTGAAAGCAATTATATATACAAAAGCATTGTAAGGATAGGAAAGAACTTTCCTCAATGTGTTGTATATATTTAAACAAATTGAGAAAAACAAATGATCGCTCAACGTGGTAATCGAATCCAGACCCATTCGGCGTCGCGCGAGAGCTTTACCAACTAAGCCATCCCAGCCTTTGCCGGAGTTTGTTTACTTTGCCCATATATATTAAGCCACGCTGGCGTAAAAATGTGATTGACCATAAAATCACATTTTTAAATACTAAACACAGAATTTAGAATAAAAATATTATCGCCAATCATTTGGAAATACGTTAGTGTTATTATATCTTATTATTATATTTTATTTAAAAAAATAGTTAATGTTATATTAATATATTACAGTTACGACAATTTTGAAAAATTCTGAAAGGATCGTATGAATCTTTTATAAAACAGTTTCGATATAAAAATAAGAGTTTTTAATAAAAAAAGGTTACAAAAATTATCTTGAGTCAAGTTTTGTTTTCTGTATATATAATATCTCAAGTATATCGCACGTGAATCGATTTGAATCACATTTATTTTTAATGAAAAAAAAATTGTGATTGACAAAACTTTCGCAAACAATCTCGTACTTTTATTACTATGATATAAAAAATTTCTTATTTTAAAACAATACATTGTTGTTGATTTAATAACAAGATTGTTCTTTACTATCGAAACCAAATAAATTTTTGTGGACCCCCACTTACAACTTGTGAACTCACATTGTTTTTCCACACCAACGTAGACCGCCGTCGAGTCTCCCGTGAAACACTTAGGGTCACCTGGACCACTGGGAATCACTGGTTTAGGAGAAGCCGGCTTATACAATGGTATTATTGAGTCATTAAGAACCATTTGAAAAGGGATTGGCTTCCTAATGCAAAGAATAACAAAATTTTAAGATAAATTAAAAATATAAGCAATTAGGACAACGTTGTATTCATTGATGTAACATGGCTAAACGCCAATCACACTGTGCCGCAGATAAGGACAGATGACACGTGCCCGTGAGAAAAGGTAGATAGAAAAGATTTGTAGAAAACACATCTACTAAACAAACGATCACTGGGCCAGTGATGAAGAAAACAAAGAATATTGTTATGGACTACTATGAAAGAGACTTCATTTTGAATACATTATAGAAAATCAAATAATAATTAATGTAAACAACGATGATGACGACGACAGGTCAACTAGTTGTAGTTAAAGTGATTAAAAATAAACTTGTTTGTAATTTATTGGTCCTTAATTTATATAACTTTATTTCAAGAAATTAGCAGTACTAAGCAACAAAAATGAAAAAAGCTGATAAATTTTGTGTTCTAAGTTTGTTTCTAATTTATTCTGGTATTAATCTAGATAAAACAGTTTTATCTAGATTACAGTACAGTGTAAATGATTACCAAGTACCAACTCTAAAGAATCGATTTCTCTTAAGAATCGGATATTGCACGTAGGTAACGATTTTTCAGTTGGAATGCTCTAGTCCAATAAATGTGAAAGATGACAGTTGGATGACACCTGACAAAAGATATTGATATATTTGGTGGATTACAATTACAATAATAAATAATAATTAAAGTTTATTGATTAACTAAGCCATCTAAGCTGCCCTGTAATCAATAATACATTTTAAAAGTCTATTATCGAGTTCGTGACATGAATTCGCATACGTTAATAATTGTTATGTTTTCACTTTATTCTTATAATTTAAAGGCTGATATTTTAAGTGTAGAACAAAGGCTTAAAAAACTTTCTACGTCGTGAGTGAACGTTAATAGGATTATGTATTTTACTTTATGTTAACCAATTTTTTCATGATATTCACTTTTTAGGTTAAATAGTGACAGTAATTTGGAATTTCTATACCCAAAGAAATGTTTTGAAATTTTGGAGTCCTTTTCACATAGTGCATCAAATTTGACGATGTGTTCAATATTAAATGCCAGACCTGTCAGATTGTGTGAAAAGTGTATTGATAAATACGTAACCTTTCATAATAGATATGAAGAGTTACTTAAAACAGTAATTAATGGTACGACATGCAGTTCAGTTTTAATTTCTAATGACAGGTTGGATGTGGTATTGCAATACCATAACAGTATTTTAGAAATTTGGGATAAAGGAAATTGCAATAGTAAGAGGCACAGTACTCTTTAATGTACATAGTTTTTATATTTATTAGCATTATGTATTTATTTTAATTTTTTATTGTTATTAGGTTGTTTTGACTGGAATGGCGGTGTACCAACATTAAGTAATGATACAAAGCATTTTAATAAACTTTTTAATGAAACAATGAAATGTTTAATAAATAACTTTGATCCTAAAAACAATGCCACAGTATGTGAAAAATGTATGCAATATTATATGCAGTTAAATACATTTTATTCAACCTTAAGTACAGATGCAATTGGAGTAGATAGTATTTGTATGGACGTGGTAGATTCAGTAAGTTTTTTAAAATATTTGATAAGTTCAACTCAGGATCTGTTCACATTTAATTTGTAAATTTCCTCAGATGAATTCAACAAGAAGTATTTGGAGCAAGACACTCAATTGTTGCAAGCTACGTATATCACCAGAAGTTGTGTTTTTGTTCAGTGCTGGATTAATATCATTTTTGCCTTTAATTTTTTATATGTCTGTAAGATACTGTGGACCAATCAGAGATTTACCTAAAGTACTAAGAGGTAAGTTTCTTAACTACTATTTTGCAATTTTGTATTTATTTATATGAATTGAATTAAAAATTATTTGTCATTGTGCACTACTAGGGCTGCTGTAGAAATCCTACATAATGACTGCAACTATGCTGCAGTGTCCTGAGCCATGACTAGAGATTAGATAATTGAATGCATATTTACCTAAACTTATTTTTTGGCTTATAAAATAGATAAAAGTTAAATTTTAATTTCCTATTTGATATTCGAATGTATGTAAGGTGTAAGAGAAATGGTGATCTGGTAAATAGGAAAACATAAGTTAATATAAATTTATTGATACATTAAGGACATCTTACACAATGTTTTTATGTTGTATACAGAAAATACATAGATGTTTTAAGATGAAAAGTTGTATGGGCACTTTGGGCAATATACAACAATAATTATTGTCGCTCAAGTTATTGTGTTCTTTTAGCACGAATGGGTTGGTTCGATTGGGGACGGGCCACACTCACAGAATACCAGCGTAAAATAATAGCTTAATGCTGCTGTTTCATACGGTGAGTGTAGAGAATCGGAGACCCATTTTACACTATTATAAGCATACACACAAAGTTTCAACATGCGGAAACACGTAATTTTTGAGAAAAGAATTATTGAAAATCAATTATTCTTGCAATGTTTATATCTAATCCTACCATAAAACAGGCGCCATTTTGTAATGTCATTGTCGACATCAATAGGGATGTCGATTCTTTCCGAAAAAGGTCGATTGTTAAATCGATTCAAATCGTAAGCTGATGTATCGGTTCACAAAAAATCGATTTCTAAAATATCTATATTTTTTAATGTTTCTATTTATAATGTAAATATAAACCCATTTTATGAAAAACAAGAAAGATACCATGATAAATGATCTCTTATTGAAATTTGTTTTATTTAACAGTACCTATTAGGGCAGATAACAAATAAAATAGGTTAGGTTCAACTTATGTCAAAGAACCGAATTGATTGACCCCGACTCCACCTGGTACGAGTCTGTCCTACCCCTAGAGTGGTTTTATAGCGCCGGAGACGTAGCAGTCTCATAATAGATACAGAAATCCTTCTGAATCAGTCCCCTTATTTTTTTATGATGAAGGGGATTTTTTTCTCATAAAATGGATTTATATTTACATTATAAATGCAAACATGAATAAAATATCGATATTTAAGAAATCGATTTTTTGGGAATCGATACATCAGCTTACAATTCGAATCTATTTAAAAAATCGATCTTTTTCGGAAAGAATCGACATCCCTACTGACAATAATAATAAAAATGGTGTCAGTTTCACGGTAGGAATTGACTAAATATTGCAAAATTATTTGATTTTCAATATTTTTTTCTCAATAAGGACGTGTTTCCGCATATTGAAACTTTGTGTGTGTGCTTATAAAAATGTAATCTTTCTGTAAAAATACGTATCAACACCAAACTCGACTGACGTCAATGGAAAGTCGTACCGCATTCCATCTTAGTCCTCACCGGTGACAACGCATCTGCATTTTGATTCGTTATTGAAGATAGATGTAATGTCTATTGGCCACAGCAACCACTTACCATCAGGTGGACTGTGTGCTCGTTTGTCACCCTTATCCTATAAAAAACTCATTGTTCAAATTAGGCTTAGCTAGTACTTCCCTAGCATTTCTAATAGATATGGCTTTATTAGCAATCCAATAAAGCTACAACACTCGATATTTTGTTCAAATGTTTGGCAAAGTAAAATGCCACCTCTAGCCATGTTCCCAACCTAGTGATAACTGGTTCTGTAGGTAAAGGAAAATTTGGATGTAGTTCCTTTAAAATTTGTACTCTGTTGGGAGCCTTTAAAATATTTTTTGACATTATTAATTAGAGTGTCTGTACTACTGTAGCTTAAACGTATTGTCTAAAATATTTCATATTGGGAAATGTATTTTTTAATATTTTACCAGCCAGTAATATATACACTACGCTGTTGCTACATAACATTAAGAAGTCCTGCACTTTATTGTTGAATTAGTCCCCCTATAAGTGTTTTAGATATTGGATCACAAACTCTGACACAATACAACCGTTAACCACATCTAAAGTTTGACAATTTAATCGGTAAATTCATCTCGATGAGTTTTTATTTAATGATTTTACTAAGAAAATTACAACATTTCGTCCTGGAAAGTTGGTCATTTTGTCTAAAGATACCCATATCTTATTGTTTTGTACTTCACTGTGGATAAGATCTTCATAAACATGGCCCAAGTACTTCTTCTTTAACAGACTCACTTTGAATGGTTCTATCTTGATTTTTACAGTTACATATGTATTTTTATGCCAATTAAAAATTGCATCTTAAATCACAAAATCGATTTTAATATAGTTTCAAATTTTGTACAGCTTATAGTTCCAGTTGATGGGTCGTAAAACATCTCTGGGTGATTTCGTAGCCATGACTATAATAATAATAATAATAATAAGGCGTAGGGAAGTGACGACCCCATCGCCCGCTGACGTAACAGTTAAGTGACAAAACTGCTATGTCAGCGCAGTCAGTCAGTGCCTTGCCAAGAGGTGTGAGCGCCGTGCCTCGGCAGTATTGAGGGTGCAAAGGCCCGTTTGTGCTTACGGCCACACTATTAAACGGCGCCGGGTCTGGGCGTCTCCCGTTAATTGACGCCCAATTCAATGGATGATGGAAAATTATAGAACGCGCATAGGGCCGCTGCCTGGGGGTCGCCGGGGCGCGTCTGGAGCTGGCGCTGGACGTGACAGCATGCGAGCCGCCAGCCGAGCGCGAGGTGCTGCACGACCACCTAGCAGCCCCTCGCGTCCATCATCCCCACCAGACGGCTTGGTGTCGGCGGGGTCCTCGGACTCGGCAAGCGGCACCCGCCGCTGGTGGAGTACGCCGCATGCGTTGGACAAAACATATGAACATAAACGCATTGCGGGCGTACTATAGGGCGAAAGGGGAAGAAACTGGAGGGATAGCGTATCGGGCTCGGATGCATCGCTTTTTTGCTGAGCTTGAGCCGTCAGTTCCCGTCACGGAGCAAAACCTGGCAGACCGAGTTCGGTACATCATACGCTCGAAAATATTTGATGATGCCGAACTCGAACGACTACGACGTGAGGCTATTCCCTCATCGAATGAACCGGCTAGAGCTGGGGATGCGGCTGTTCAGGCCACAGACCAGCAGCCACATATAGAGGGCGCCATGGATCTCCCTGCTCTGGTTGATTCAGGCGATGATGGAATAGTCACCCAAGAACTAGAGCAGATGAGGAGTAAATTGGAGGAGGCGATTGTGGAAACGCGCAGTACGCCTCTCGAAAATCGACCGCGACTCCCGCGCATACCCCTAAGCAAGCGGAATCGGGCTGTCGTGAGGGCTCTCAACCCAATGCTGGTCACCTATTTGGAAGCCAGCCGGGACCTTTGCGAGACGGACTCAATTCTTTTTGGCGCCGCACTGGCAGTTTGCCGTATTGTTGGCGCCAAACTTCCCACGGCTGAACGCGCTACTAGACAAAGTAGCGCCATCCCAGCCTGGAGAAGAAGGATTGAGGACCGTATCGTAAAGGCAACGGCCCTCATCGGCAGGCTGATAAGCTTCAGGTCGGGCAATAATAGGCCGCGAATTGTGCGCACCGTCAGAATGGCGTTTGCTGGGACAAATATCAGTTTGTCCCAGCCGGATATAACGCAAAAACTGACGGAGCGCATAGACGACCTGAAGCAGAGAATCGCTGCTTGGGGGAAGCGGATTCGGCGATATACCGAGAGGTCGACACGGTTCAACCAGAATCGTCTTTTCCAGAGTGATCAGAAGAGGCTATATAAATCATTGGAGCGACCAATGGTACGTGGAACGGGCCAAGCACCGAATCAGGCCGACACTGTCGCATTCTGGCGCGGCCTGTGGTCAGAGCCCGTAAACCACCGCGAGGGCCCTTGGACGGAAGCTGTGGTGAGTCAGTGTGCGAATCTTACGCCCATGGACCCCGTCATTATAACGCCGGACGATGTAGCTGAGGCGGTCCGAAGGGCCCCGAACTGGAAAAGTCCGGGGCTCGACGGGCTGCATCACTACTGGCTGAAGGGGTTCGTGGTGTGTCACGCTGTGCTCGCCCGACAATTTCAAAAGGCTCTCGACCAAAAGTCGCTCCCGAGCCTCTTCACTACTGGGATCACTCATTTGGTTCCTAAAGACAGGGATACCATAGACCCGAGCAAATACCGCCCCATCACGTGTCTACCCACGATATATAAGATACTAACATCCATTTTGAGCGCGAGAATCACTCGTCACCTGAACTCAAATCAGGTGATGTCGCGCGCTCAAAATGGATGTCGGGGCGGTGGTCGTGGAACCAAGGAACCACTCCTCATTGACGCGGTCATTGGCAAAGTGGTTAAACGCAACCGTCGGAACCTATCCGCCGCCTGGATAGACTACAAAAAGGCATTCGACTCGGTGCCTCATACATGGCTGGAGAGGGTCCTCGAGCTGTACAAGGTTGACTGTACAGTTAGAGACTTCCTTGGGCAGTGTATGGGGCAGTGGAGTACGATCCTTTGTCATCTAGGCGAGCGGATGACGGCTGCGGAGAACCACATAAGGATAAGAAGGGGTATCTTCCAGGGCGATTGTCTGAGTCCAATCTGGTTCTGCCTCTCTCTGAACCCTCTCAGTACCTTACTGGAGGGCTCTGGGAGGGGATTTCAGCTTCGGAGGGGAGGTACAAAAGTGACCCACCTTTTCTATATGGATGATCTCAAGTTATTCGCCTCCAGTCGCTCTCATCTTATGGAATTGCTAAACATCACTTGTGATTTTAGCAATTCTATTAGAATGGAGCTGGGGACGGATAAGTGTGCGGTCCTCCATGTTGAAAGGGGAAGGGTTGCTAACTCTGAGGGCATAGATTTATCTATGCCCATCAACATAAGGACCCTTTCCGAGGCTGAAACATACCGATACCTGGGTATGTCACAGAACAT